CACCAGTCGTCATAACAGGGCCATAAAACAACACTGTTTTCGGAATAGCAAAAATACTTGGACCCAAGGCGCATCTGTATTCGACTCATAACAATTTTGTTACTAAACTAACAACAAAGCAATTTTACAAACCCCCTGTTCGGAAATGCTTCAGTGCAAAGCATAAGGCTCTTTTCTTTCTTAACTAAACTTGATGGAAAGGTCCGTCTTGTGCAACTACGGTAAAACCCCGAGGCGGGACTTAGTTACCCAGATTGAAAGTTTCCATCAATTATAGTTCATAATTTAGTAAAAGGGGTGCTGACTTCCAAAACGTACCAATACAATGTTTGAATAATGTTCAATACAAAGTCTCTCACTGAATGCCGCAGAAGTCTAAACGGGATGGCCCAGCATTATACAATAAAACTCATATGGGTGCCTGGACAGCGAGATATTGAGGGCAACTGCAAATGTGACAAACCGGCGAGAAATGGTACGATCACCCCCATCCTTCCGGGAAGGAAATGTAGGTGTACGTGCCAATGGCCACTTTCAAATTACATGCAAGGAACAGCACCATACAAGCAGCAAACGAACGCTGCAGAAACCTCTCCTTTTGTGGAACGGCTATGCTTACATGGCCTTCCTACGATAAAAAAACGCACGTCAGCACTCTCAGGGTTAAAACGCAACGAGGAGTCTAATCGGCGCACATGCCTCGAGATTGAGAGTGAACGCGCCAGACTACTGTCGCAGCTGCAGATACGAAGCAGAGCAAGAGAGTGTACAGCACCTTATATGTGAGTGCCCGACACTCGGTTTGATCCCGAGTAAGCACCGCTACAGGGGGAGTCACTCTCTAGCCATCTCAATCTAACCTAACCTAACAACAACAACAACAGTGAAAGAAATGGCGATCGATTTACATGTGTCCAGTTTACTTTTACTGAGTCAACGCTTGCTGTGATCATTTTGCGTGTTGTCATTCCCTAAACGATCCGTTTGTTGTAGGCCAGTCAACGCTAGCCACACCGATGTTGTCGTGAGCCAACTGAGCTACGCACGCTTGCTTTAAAGCATAAACAGACGGCAGCGTTGATTCGGATCAACTCGGAAGTTAACTGCAGTTGATCCGGATTAACTCGGATCAAAGCTGCCATCTATTTAAGCTTTTAGAGTATAAACTGTAGTGGTTCTATGGTTTCTCCTGTATTCGAGGTAAAAATCAGTTATTTTCTTCCGCTTGCTTTCCATAATTTGGATCTGTGTTCCCTGGGGTGTGGTAGTTGCAAGGCTTCTGTCCTATTTTGTTAGAGTACATATATCTAGGACAACGATAGCATAATTCCCTGTTGTTGTAACAGCATACAAATTCCTCGGAATGACCCAGATTTATATCTGGCCAAGGACTGTCACTCCAGCAACACTGCCTATCATAATTCCCTAAAGCACTTGCCCTATACATACATAGGGCTCAGATGGGTTAGGTGTTTTAACAAAACCTATGTAATAGACTGGCCAAGAGCGAAGTGGAAAAATCTAACGAATTGAATACTTCCAAGGCCAGCCGCAGAGACTTGATTTACGAGACTCAGATGGATGTGGAATCGCTATTATTTTGAAAGTAGGTGTGGCTTTCTAATTTAAAAAGTTCATCAGATTGCCAATTTTCAACCCGTAATTCAAATGATTTTCAAGTATAGATAGAATGAGGCCAAAAGGTTTTATTTTTTTTTAATGTATATATATATATGTTATAGAAACATACCCAGAAAATAATTTAGGTAGGCCTTCTTAAGTGAAGCCATTCTAAGAGGCCTACCCAAGAAGGGCTGAAAAAAGGTTCTTCCTTGCATGCCTTCTAGAAGGGCTTTTCATATACAATTTACGCGAATGCATACATTTATAATAATATAGCTTTACAAATGAATTTCAATAAACATTTTAAGTTGCAATAATACATATTTGATATAAAACTTATGCAGATACTTCAAAGATGAATGATTTTTATAAATTAAAGAAGCAACTTTAAAAGAACTCCTCCAAAAGGCCTTCTGAAGTACGTCCTATAAAAGCCCTTCAATTTGTGCCACTCCATACAAAATAGAAAGGAGTAAGGAATGTAAAGTGGAACGGCTCTTGACTCTCAGGAATTTCTTTCGAAAGGGCTTTTAACTCCTGAAATTATCTACTGGAAATATATCGTCACCTGAAATGCAAAAGACCATAAGTAACAACAAATTCAAAGTTCACTCTTTGATTCGATCATGATGCATATCATCGAATTCTGCAAACTTTGTTAGTTACGGCCTTTTGCATTTCAGGTGACGATATTTTTTTACATACATATATCCAGTCACATTTAAGCAATTTAAAATTAAATGTACCGATTTCCGAAATAGCAATCACTTCTAACATTTTAAATTATTGTGGCTTTTCCACAATAGTTTCTCATTAAAACCGGCCTCTAGCTCAATAAAAATTTTTGAATATAGTCAATCAAAATTTATTTTTAAGCTCGAAGTCATATTCTCAGTGCTACAGTTACAAGGTCAAAATGTACCGAACGTGTTCCTACTCTTTAACTGCATAAGTTTGTATTTTTTCTTTATCTTAGCTTAAATCTTAATATATGTATTAAAAAAATTGTTGAATATATGTATTAATTTTAAATTGAATTATACTGCAACTGGTCCTGTACATTTTTTTTGTTTAATATCTCCAATTCCAAGAGCCTCAACCGATGCATTTCTTTTCGATGTAATTCTTTCTGCTTGAGCTCTTCCTTCTGCAGACGAAGTTTTTCCACTTTCAGTCGATAACTTTTTCGGTTAAGACGTTCGGATTCTTTTAGATGTGCGCTGATTTGTTCCAATTTTTCTTTCATTTCCTTATAAAGTTTGGCTTGAATTTGTAACTGCTTCGTTAGCAACGATTCTATTTTCGATGCACCCATTTGCGAGGGCGGTGCCTGGTATGGATTTTCATTTTTTCCTTCAATGTTTATTATGGGATATTCATTTTCCTGCAAGCACATTTGTTCAATCGGTTTATCCATATGTTGCTCCTCTTCGGTGTTGTTGGGGAGCACCGTTGAACCTTCAAATGACTGTTCGCTTGTGGAACTCTCGGTATCAGAATCTTCAAATTTAGTTTTTTTCGCTACGCGTTCCCGCTTGGGGCGTGTAGGGGCTTTACTTTCTGCCGATTCCGTTTTAATCGGACTTGCTTCTTCGCCATTTATAGAAACTGTGCCTTTATTTAGATATAGCAAAAAGGTCTCTGTGTGTTTTGTCTTGAGATGAGTGATGAGCCCAGATGTGCAGCAACCTTTTCTTGAAAAACTTTTCCCACATACGCGGCAGCATGCCCTCTCATTGGAGGCGGCAGAGAAAAAGTTCCAAATAAAGCTAGATTTTCGTCCTGGAGACATTTTGTAATTTATTTACTTGGTGAGATAAACGAAATGCAGCAATAAAAAAGTTGTAGAAGCGCAAAACTATATAGAGTTGCCGGAGTAAAAAAAA